AAATATACTACACAACTATCAATTCAGTTTTGCAATAGTCATTCTACTATTTATCAAGTACATAGATTAGCCGACAAAATCTCTTGTATCAGAGGAGAAACTCTACCGTACTAGAACTTTTCTTGATGTCTCCCAAGCTTTTGATAGAGTCTATCACTTGAGCTTGTTATACAAACTAAAACATCCAATCATCCAATTATTCAATCATTATTATTTAATCCTAAAATCTTACTTAGAAGATGATTCTTTTCAGTACTTGTAGGCTCTGCTATCTCCTATCCAGCAAGAATTAATGCTGGTGTATTACAAGGCGTAGTAACTGCTCCATTACTTTTTAACTTATTCATATCCGATCAGCCCAACTCAAACCAAACTCTAGTTGGTGATTCTGCAGATGACAAATTTATAATAGCTAGCAGCACCGACCCTAACTTAGCTTCTCTATGTATACAAAATCATCTCCACTTTTTTTGAAATGTGGTGTAAAAATGAGGAGTAAACATGAATGAGAGCAAGTCTGCTCATTGTACGTTCATTCTTTGACATGGCACATGCTCGACACTTTTCCTTAATAATCAAATATTACTTAATGCCCAATGTGTGTCATATCTTGGAATTCATATCGACCATCAACTCACTTGGGCTCCACACATCAAAATTATCATACTAAACAACTGTCTTCATCTCTTATAACCCTTATTAACATCCAAAAAAATAAAACTACCCAACAAACTACTAATCTACAAACTTTTATAAGACCCATCTGGACATATGTTATCCAGCTCTGGGGGTGCAGCAAAAATATCTAACATTAACTGCATTTAAAGATTCCAAACAAAAATTCTCCGTATCATTTCAAAAGCTCCATTTTATATTTCCTACAAATCTTTCCATTCTGACATTAAAATACCAACTGTCACTGAAGTAGCCAAACTATATTATAAGCGTTTCAATAGCCGATTAACCCAATACCCAAACCCTCTCATAAGTCAACTCTCATCCATAACCATTCCAGGCAATCCTCAAAAGAGATTAAAAAGACAGTGGTGTTGTGACCTGCTAAAATAAATCAAGAAAAAAAAAATGTAACAAAGTAACTTTTAATCCCCCTCACCCTTCCCGACGAAGTATCTCTAATGGGAAATCTTTTCATTCCGTCATTCCAATGACTATTTAATATATATATTATCAATTAAGCTTATTGTTCATTTGTTTATAACAGATTGCCGAATGAAGAATTAAGTTTAAAAAAAAAATTATTTAATATTAATAATAAAATTATATGTTAATATTAACATTTTGAATGTATAGTCTAGATATACTATTTTTGGGATATTTTCAGTAGAGTTTGGTCTTCTTATTTCAAATTAAAGTATTATATCTTCATTGCGTTAATTTTTATGTTTTAGCTGTGAAATTGATATTAATGAATGTGAATCCAGCCCATGCTACAACAATGGTGTGTGTATTGATCAATTAGGTAAATTTGAATGTAATTGTACTGATGACTATGAAGGAGCAACGTGTGAACAGTTAAAACTCATTACTTGTGATAATCTACCGTGTAAAAATGGTGCCGATTGTTTTAAAACTCCAGGTATTTTATAAGATAATTAAAATATGCTTTTACTTTTTTAAATTTAATTTGTATATTTCTGTTATGTTATAGATCAATATGGTAATAATTATACCTGTTCATGTTTGGAGGGATTTTCAGGCTCAACTTGTGACACAGCATTCTGTGATATTTATGAGTGTCAGAATAATGGCTTATGTAAAAAAGAGGTATTAATATTTGTTTTTATATGATGATTATTTTAAATTGTATTAGAATAAATAAATAATAAAAAATAATTTAACAGACATCTCCTTTCTGTGAATGTCCTGTTGGCTTTAAAGGCCATCTTTGTGAACAAAATATTGATGATTGTTTGGATAATGGCAATCAACAAAAATGTCAGCATGGTGGTCAATGTATTGATGGTATTAATGAATTCACTTGTAATTGTACAGAAACTGGTAAGAGTTAATTTAAAAAAAAAACATTAAATTATGTTCTTTAATTTTTTAATTTATTTTTTAGGATATACGGGCGATGATTGCAGTATTGATATTGATGAATGTTTTGATCTTAGTATACAATGTGGTCATCGTGGAGTATGTAAAAACATACCAGGTTCTTTTATCTGTGAATGTGAAAAAGGTTATTGTGGGTATCTTTGTGATCTGAATAATCCTTGTTTACCAGTAAGTATTTTTAATCTTTTATATTTAAATATGCTTTTATTAATTTTTAATATCATTTATTAGGAAAATCCTTGTAATAATGGAGGATTTTGTCAAGAACATTGCACTGATGTAATAGTCTATGAATGTCAGTGTGCTAATGGTTATGTTGGACAAAATTGTACCGAGGTAAATGATAATAAATTATTTTATCAGTTTAATAATAATTATACTATACTTAACTATTATTAAATTATAGTTTTGTTGTAAATAAGAGGTAACATTTTTGAATGTTTGTCCTATAATCAAAAATGTCAATGTATGGTAACATCTAATTAACTAGTAGATTAGATTTATTTTATTTAACTTACTTTTAATAACCATCACTTAAAATGGTATTTTTGTTACGTGAAGTTTAAATCAAAATACCTGACATGCATTTTGTCTTTCATAAAAGCAGATAATACTAAATAAATTATTCAGCATAGAATAATTTTTGAATATAATGATAAGTATTTCAAATTGTGATACATTCATACATAATCTTGGTTATTTATGGAATGAAAGTCTAAACATTTGGTATCTGATGCCTCTTAATACTAGTTTTTGAAAAAAATACTTATTCTAAATTATTTATTTAAACTTATTACTGTCGTTTTTTTTTTAATTTGTATGATTTATCTCAAACATTTTATTCTAGTTGCCTATCATTCATAACTATGCAGATATAGCATTAATTGTTGGCCCAATATTACTTATTCTACTTATTGGTGGTATGGGCAGTTTGCTTGTACTATTAATGATGGCGCGAAAAAAAAGAGCTACACGGGGTACTTACAGCCCAAGTTGTCAAGAGTATTGCAATCCTAGAGTTGAATTAGACAATGTACTGAAACCACCACCGGAAGAACGACTTATTTAATTATTATTTTTTATTTTTTGAACTATTTTAAGAACAATTATTCATTATAAGTTATAATATTTTATACATTTTAACAGTTTATGAATTTTATTTTAACTATATTAATGATCTCTTTATTTTTGTTTAGCGGCCATTTTATATACTTCATTTAATTCATCATAAATTTTATGATTTTTATTTAAATTATAATTTTTCCAGTATTCTGTTTTTGCTTATGTTTAACAAATAAGTTGATTATCATCCAACTCAATGCAATTATGTTTTTTTTTTTTTTGTATTTAGTTAATAATATACAATTTTTTGATAACAATGCTTATAAAAAATTGTTAACGATTTATTATAGTTAATATATTACATTAAATAATCTTATTTATAATAATTCAATTTGTTCCAAAACTGTTAATAAAACATTAAAATATATTTTTAATTAAACAAAATATAGTTTAATAGTTTTGTATAGTACTTTTTTAAATAAGTCTGTTAGATGATAATGTTGCACTTTGAATTAAGATATTTTTTTTAAATATATTTATCTTAAACGTTTTAGAATAAAATTTAAAACATTTTTAAATATATTTTGTATAATTATTATTATTTTTAAAATATTTAAACTTAAAAAGTTGGAACAAAGTGATTACTTACTGGTTTTTTGTAATTTTTATATTAATATGCACTACTAAATATTATTTTTAAATTAGGTGTATTTAAATTGAATAGATAATTTTTAATTAGATGGTATATTTATTTACAATTAATTCAACTATTATAGATCTATTTTAAGCTTTATTTTTTAAATTTATGATAATTATTTTAATTATAGTTTATCAGGTAGTTGCTTTCATATTAATATATTAATTTGTATTATAATTTTTAAATGAACATTTCCAGCTCTCTTTTTAAAAATGATTTATTAATTATCAACTTTATTTTTATTAGTTAATATTCATCCTATATATTGTAAGAAACATAAAGTATAAAGCAAACTAATGTATTGACCATTATAAAATATTAAATTGTATTTTAGTTGACATTGTATTTTTATGGTGTTCAATATTTATATTTATTGGTATTTTTTTTTATAAAAAGTGAGCTTTTACCCATAGTATTTATTTTTTTTTCATTGTGTTTTATGCTTACTTAATAGTGATAATCATATTACTTTTTGTGATATAAACCGTGAAATTATACATTGTAATTAATTATATTTTTCAGGGTTTAATTATTCCGTCCACATTTAATTGTGTAACAACAGGGTAGTTGTAAAATTAATATAATCCCATACATTATTTGAACAGATTTAATTTTTTGATACATATGAATTATAAGCATGTGATGGGTATGTAGTAGATTGTATTATTAAAAATTATTTTGTTCCTTCAATATTTAGTAACCTATAACCATTTGTATGAAATTTGTGTATTTGCATTATAATACTTTTTTATTGTTTGTTATTTCGTGAAATTTTCTGATTTTTTTAACCCTTTGAAATAGTGTTGAATAAAATTAAATCTGTTTGAAAAGTGTGTGTTAAATATTAAGACGCTATGTTTGAATGAATTTCAAACAGCATATTTGGTGTAAGTGTTTGTGATTTTTTTTTTTTTGGTAAAACTACATTCACTATAAGTGTAAAGTGTGCACCCATTGTATACTTTTATATCAGTATTAAATGCCATTTTATAAAAATTAATTAAAAACAATTTATTTTTCAACAAATTATAATTACTTTGTATTCTTGAAATAATTTTGGTAGATATTGTACTTAATAATAATTTGTATTAATTTAACATACTATAGTAACATTCATGTTTTTTTTTTTTTTTTACAATCATTTTAATCAATACTACTAGAGTATACAATTTTTGTGTAAAATAAACATTTTCAAACTACAATTATATTTAATCTATTAATTTTTTTTTATCTAGACTAATTCACATATAAAATTTGCTTCAAAAGTGCAAAACTTATCGTTCCATTTGAAACCTTCCTCTCCTTTATACCAAAACTCTACACAGTCTTCATCATTGCCTTTGTCGTCTTTGACATTGTTTGGTTCACCTGTTAGCCAGTTAGTATATCGGAAGTTTTGGCCGTTGCCTAACCAAACGAACGAGCCTTCATTTGATAGATCGTTTCCAGAGGTCCAGAAGTGAGAATCTGTACTGTAACCTAAAAAAATTAATCAATACTATGTATTAATCATCACCAACACTTCAAAACATTCATAATACTGGTCATTGGACGAATACTCGAATGGGGGTGTACATCATAATCATAGGCGTAACTTGGGGGGGGTCTTAGTCCCCCCAACATAAATTTTAGCCCCTCCTATCATAATTCCTAGTACCACACTCCCGCCAATAATAGTAACATTTTTAAACTTAAATTTAAAATATCGTTTTATTTTTTTTATTAATATCTTAGAAAAATATTAATTTAAACTATATTATTGTACCTATGTAATAATCCTGTGTAAGACGTATCATGTTGTGTAATTTTTACTACACAAATACTCCCTACTAAGAAGTTGTCAATAAACTAAAAATCATTAAATTCTTTATATCTAAAATAATACTTAATAATATGTTAATATATAAATATTTAACCTCAATATCACTTGGTTTATTAATTGTTTTATAATTAAATATTAATTTACATTCATATTACATGTATAATATGTAAGGTGTTTGGGGGTATAGGGAGGCAGAGCCTCCCAATAATTTACTTACAATAAAAATTCTAGGGCTGAAGTCCCCCTAACTTTAAGGTCTAGTTGAGCCTATGATCATAATCCATAAAATAGATGAAATATACAATGCTTTCTGGTTATACGTTATATATTTCTCTCAAGTGTGTTCTTACCGAAGTCCTGCATCTGTTTCACCACATCCGCATTTTCTTGTTCACTAGTGATGCTAGCTAATTGCATTCCATGATAACGGCAAAACGCCATGGAGTCGAACCAATTGGCCTAGTTGTATACAATACAAAATAAAGTATAGTCAGGGTGTATAAAAAATTATGGGCACTATGAAAACCAGGATAATACCCTATATTCCATCGTGGTAAACAGCGTGGGGGTATTGAGAATGTGATATTAGGGGTTTTTTTTAACTTAATTTAATTATTTTAGAAAAAGTTATATGAGTACGACGAAAGCTAGCATTTGTTTTGAGTGAATCGGCCTATTAATAAACTATAAGATAAAATAGCATCTCATAGACTTTTATTGATATGTTAACTTAAAACCGTGTTATAAGTTGTAATAATTTTATAATTTAAATATCGATAAAAATTACGAAGTGCCATAAACATATTATTTATCACAATTTAATTGATTAGTATTTTTTGAAATCAGATAAGAGGAACCGTGACATTATTAGAGAAGCTTTTTTTCTCTTTTACAAATACAATTTGCGGATGATTTTCTAGACTAATATTTTAAGATTCGCATGGTGATATTTTTTACTCTGCATAATGGTCATAGGCGCCGACTTCATGGAGGTAACGTAGGCAATCGCCCCCGTACTTCAATTATAACGAAAGTAAAACGTAAAAATAATATTTTGCTTACAGCTAAGATTTAACTCTGAAGTTCGATCGTTTTTATATAATAAGGAAATTTTTTTAATCGATCCAAAAATATCATCTCAAATAATATGTAAATTTTACAAGGTTGATTTAAATATTGATAAACTGACACTTCATAGAGATATGTTTCACGATACAATTAAAGGCCAAGGATTAATTGATTCATCATTTACAGATATATTAAAATTTTTGAAAATAAATCGTATTTGGTCATTCATCTAACTAAGCTTAGGGAATGCAAGCAATTGATATTAACAGTGCCAGTCACTACATGTACTACTGAAAGATCTTTTTTTATTTTAAGGAGATTAAAAAATTATGCAAGAAGTACTATGTCACAGAACCAGTTTTATTGGTTTGGTAGTTATAAATGGTCACAAAACAATTATAGAATATTTGGACTTATGTAAAATAGGATATATGATTATCAATAGACAACAATTATGTCAATACATTTAAAAATTGAATTAATACATAAATTAATTTATTAACAACTTAAGTGCTCGACAAGAAAAAATACTTTTGCATTGAAATTAATATTATTTTAGACAATATTTTTACAGATAAAATTTAATGTAATAACTAAAGTTTAAAAAGATTGTATTTTGATATAAAAATGTTTATTTTTTTTTAGTTTTAACTGAAGCCAATATAAATAATTGGAATAATATCCTTGTATAGTAGGTAGCTTAAATTTTTTTATTTGTTCTCGTACTATAATCTAAAATCTAATCTAATAGACTAATGGTGAAATTTGAATTTGTTTTGGGTATAATTGAAAATATGTTGCATACCACAGTAAAGTTAACGTAGGTTGCTACTTAAAAAAAATTTTAATAAATAATTTTACACATTTTGTACATATCTAATATACCGATATCTAAGAAAATGTACATAGTTTATCGCATTCTGCAGAGTATCCATCCGTTCTTTAAGTCAATAACACGTGCGTTCCCTACGTTCCTATTTTGCTCCACTTAGACACCATCTACGTAAATGAGTCTCAATCTACAGATTTTATTGCAGCGCATCTGTTGTTTTATTTTATTTATTTTTTTGAAGCACTATTACAACTAACTATAATTAAATAGTTATTAATTGTCAGCGTATGCACAAATTGTGTGACATAAAAATTTACGGATTGTATATTTCTAACTAATAATAAAAATGTAGGTAAACCTACCTTGAAAAATGTTCCCAGGTAAAATTGCTTAGAGCCCGATTGCACTACATTCCATTTGGCGGTTGGCATGGTGGTGAGTGTGGTGTACATGCCGCTATTGTAACTTCCTTGTTTTGGATCTAAAATCAATTAAAATATTTTTATTAGTAACGTCTGTAAAATGGTAATGTATAGCATATTAAATCATAAGAGTATTAAAGTCAAAACGATTCAAGGTACCTTGTTTCATATTAAGCATAGATACCTTGATACTCACGGACTATACAGAGTACAGTTTTTTTTATACTTAACCAATGTATTACCAATAATCGACAATAAGTGTCCAACACAATAGTATAAATTTTATTAAATTTAATATATTTCATGGATACAATAATGGAGCCTACTGATGTATCTAAATATACTTAAATTATGATAAAGATAAGATAATATGGTTATAAAAAATATAAATTGCTTAAATTCACGTTATTTTTTATTTTTTATTTATCTACTTTTTGATATTATATTTTTTACGAATCCTCAGAGTTGTTAAAATTTGCCAGTCATCAAACCATCCATCAACATACACACTAAAACGGTATGAAAATAAAATAAAATATGGGATTATAAAAATAAATAGAACCAACTATTCATAGTAGTTTGATTTCAGTCTCCAGATATTACATTTTGAACTGTATCGTGTACAAAAGCTCCAAGCTTAAAATATTAATCAATACCTTTATTATAAGATTATAATATTAATAAGTATAAGTATCTTTTAGCTAACTACCTACTTACTAATTGGTATTAAATTATAAAAAATAAAATTTATTTTTTAATGTATTTGACGCTGTAATCATTTTTTTATAAATAGGTAGCCATATAAATGTTTATACGTGCTCGTTTTTTATAAATTGTGTCATATACACATATATTCATAACAAAAAATTTAACTTAAAATAATTTATTTAAGTGATTGTGTTATTTTTAAAATTTTATCAACGAGTTACGCTAGATTATAATTATAATTATTCTATGTTAATAGGTAATTCAAAATTTACTTGTTCCAGTTTCTTCGTTAGCAGCATTAGTGGTCATGTCAAAAACAATAAAAGTTGTCAAAGTAATTATAAATACATTTCCTTTGGAGAAAATCATTTTACTTTTGAAAATAAAAATAATTCTTAATACAAAATAGATTAATAAATTCCTCCGAATTCTTAAGATCGAATATTATTAAATATATTATTGTAGGTACTACGACGTCTTTTATAAGAAAAATATTTTAACGAAATAACAAATTCACAACTAAGTTTATTTAATAGCATTAAACAAAGTCGTAATAACATAATATTTGATTTAATATCTATTATTTACATAAAACTATAAAAGTAGCACAAAAAATACATTATGATATTTCTAATATATATAGTTTTATACGTAAAACATACATATTTTTCTTGTTGCCAAATACTATGTCAACTAATCAAATAGTTTTATTTTGTGTTTATTTAAGTTAGTTCATAAGTACTTTTAAAACTGTATTGCAAAAATAAAGTGAACAATTTTATGTTTTAAATTAAAAATTTAAAATATCAAATGAGGTGGATTTAACCATTGTACTTATATTTTTACTCCAATTACACTTATCGCTCAATGATAAATTATTTTAAACAAAAAAAAAATGATCGAAGGACTTAATTAAATTATTTATTTATAGTTTACATCATATTATAATAATTATAAATTTTTATTACTTAATAATTTCATAATTTAATAGGTAACTACAACCTATAAGTTGGATTGAAGTTTTTTAAATATTTTCTGGTATATAACTAATAACTCGTAAAAATGATATAAAATATATTATGTAGCTTAAAATTAGATTTAATATAAAATATAGTATACAATCATTAAGTAATGTAAGAAACTTTTGATGGTTAATTGTTTTTGATAATTAAAAATTATTAAATAAACAAAAAAAGGATAATAGTACCAACGATCTACATTTATTGATGAGTATTGAGTAATTCACTGAAGTGGATATGTTTAATTTAAATTGATTGATAAATTATTGTATACAAACCTTGATTCAGAGCGGTTAATCAGATCATAATACTATAAGTTATTTATTTCATATGATTTTTGAGATTGCTATTAAAATAATTTATTTTGTTATTAATATTACAATCGGTTGATTTAATTTTTTTCTGAAAAAATTGCATTTACTATATTGTTATTATTATTGTGATATATTTATATATATATTTTTACTATCTATATTATTGTAAATCATTTTTGAATCAAAACTGTAACTAGATTTAATTTGTCATCATTGAAAGTAATTTAAAATATAAAAATTCAAAAAACTAGAAGATTTTTGATAAATTTATAGTTATAGCAGTTAAGATACAGCCATTTTTTTATCTTTACGCGTAAAGTGTTAGAAGTTCAAAATTGACAAAGTTCATTAATATCACCGCAATCTTGGTGCAAATTAAAAAATATTGACAATTTTGCTAACAATTCAATTTTTTTTTCATTGTATTATCAATTATAATAAGTTTTTCATTGAGCAATTAATTAAAAAAAATAAAACACATAGCCAGAATTTATTTTACTAACAAATTTAGACAGAATTGAATATTCATTCGAAAAATAACGATTTATCTTTAATTTTATTGAAAAAATATTAACTATAGAAAATTGAATATTATAATTTTACTTTAATATGTAGGTAAGTATATTATATATATAGGCATACCGTATACGGTGAATGTTATTATATTTAAGACTATATAATATATATCTGAGTTAAATAATATGAATAGTCATTAGCTTAAACTTTAAACTTTAAAGGGTTATTTTTAGACTAATTAGATATTTAAAAACATTTTAATTAACCATGTGTTAAATAATATTATCTTTTCACATATACCTAATAAATAATCCATATTTCAAAACTTTGTCTCTGTGGCTCATGAGTTGTTATGATGACTAATGCGAGATTCACTGGGGATTTTTATCTTTTTAAGTTGAATGTATGAGGAATTATTGATTTCACCGTGGCTATTAATTCCGCCGGCTACTGTTTAAAATATTTACACATCGATTCCGCCGGACACTGTTTATCTGTACTGGAGTTTGTGACGATATACACATTTTCACATAGTATTATGTATCGTCTAGCCTCTAGCGCAAACGAGTCATCCGTCGTTTTCAGGTTAACAACGAATTTTGTTGTACGCAAACAAGTGGCAGCGTCAAGTTTAGATTAATTCAGTAATTTAGCCTCGTAAAAGATTACACATCGATATTTTTCATTTTTCATTTTTCATGTATTTTATTTTTGGGATTAGAATTATTTAAATGAGTTAAATGTATTCATCATATCTTATTTATTCATTCTTTTATCCCTTGTAAATCAAACATAATATGATGAATTACATTTAATTTTAAGGTAAGTCGTGTTTCAAATTATTTTTTTCTTTTAAATGAAGTAATTTTGTTTTTTACATAAAATCAACAATTTTCAATTCAATTAAATATTTATTCAAGTGTTTGTAAAAAATACAATCTAGCTATAGTTACTATGTTTTTAATTTTTTTCAAGACTCGTAAGTTTACACAGCAGTTATATTTACCAAGGCGTTCGCAAACATCATTGTCGGAGTATGAAATCCAAAGAAAAAAAATAGTCCTTATTCTCTATCAAAAAAAAAAAAAAAAAAGCAGTAATAAGATAACATTTTCTAGTCATTGAAAATTTATCAGATCTTTAAAAAAATATATTTTTACTAACTAAAGTTTGAATTGAAATTGAACCAACAAAATGTTATTTAAGTAGGTATTTTAAAAATTTACAATTTTGAAAACTTAGACATTAGAATACAATCAGTGTCGTAGCCAGAGAGAACACTGAGACTTGAGAGTACGTACCTCTCACTCTCCCAGGAAATCTGTTCTTAATTCAGGGGTACAGAAATCCCTAATTAAATAAACTAGGAAGAAGTCACTAATCCATTGTATAAATATTAAAATTTGATTAAATTATAACTAAAAATAATAAAATCATTTTTAATATTAAACGTATTTCCAAAAACTTTTGGAACGTTTTGTATATTATTTTATAACATTTTACTTAGTTTAATATTATCAAATATATGTAAACCTAATTATGTATTTACTTAACTGATAACTTACTATTAAACATACATATTATTATATTATAATCAGGTAAGAAACTTTTTTTTTATTTAAATAACTAAATCTAAATTGAGGATTTGTCTAATGCAATTATTTACAAATTAAATTTAATGTGATAAAGATATAAATTATAGTATAATGCTCGATATTTCCATAGTACAATTAATTCAATTATTTCTGATGATTTTTTCATAGTTCTTCACATTTCACATACAAAAAAGGTTTCAAACGAACATGGTGAATCGTTCCATTTTAGACCTTTGCCGTCTCGATTCCATAACTCTAAGCAATGTTCCTCTTCGCCATTTTCATATTTGAAATTGTTCGGTTCTCCGGCATTCCAGTTAGTAAATCCAATCGGCCGGCCATTGGCTAACCAAAAGAATGAACCTTCTTCTGCTTGATCTGTACCAGAAGTCCAAAAGTGCTCATGACCTAAGCCTAAACAATTTGAAATGTCGTTAAATTGTATAATGATTATAATTCATCATACTACATTCTATATGCTAGCTATACCTATAGTTAGGTATATAGTTTTCATATTAATTTATCAAGTACGTTCTTACCATTGTCTTTGATGTATTTTTCCAATTTGTCATTCTCTTCTTGACTACTTATGCTAGCTAAATGCATTCCATGGTATCTACAGTATTGAGCGGCTTTGTACCAATTAGCCTAAATTAATAAAATAGGTATTAAGTTTGTTTGTTATTTAAATCGATTTTTTTTTTATTATTACAATTATTGATGTACGTTCAAATATTTACCTTGAAAAATATTCCCAAATATATTTTTTTGTCTCCCGATCGTAAAAATGGCATTGACCACTTATTTAAGACGGAAGCACTATCTTCAATACAATTATTGTTGTTGCATTCACCTATAACATAAAATCACATAATAATGATAATCACTTGAAATTTTACCGATTTTTTAAAACAAAGTATTTATATTCTATACAGTCTACAGGATAATTCACCAAATATTTTCATTTTTATTATTTTATTTAATAATAAATTTATTAAAATTCTGATTTTTGATATGCTTGCTTAAGTAACATTATACTATTTATACTTAATCGCTTTATTTTTAATAATTTAAATTTTAGTGGTATAGTTAATTACAAAAATATCACCATGACCACTCGCTTTAGTACTAATTATTTTCTACTAAATATTGATGGCTATGTATAATTTATAAACGGGGTAATAATCAGTTTTAAAATTATTATATAATTATATAATGGGACGACCAAAAAAAATTAGGTTTATTTTGATTTCAGGTTTAGACCCTTGAGGTACAGTAACTCGTTGTACTCCATTATAGGTTCAAGGTCTTATGATAACCTTCTAAAATATTTTTAAAAATAACATACTTATATAGGTACGTTTAGATACTATGCATTGTAATGTTCATTGAACACAAGTTCCTTCTTATACTACATCGAATTTTGAATGATTTATACTGCACATAGTATGTTAAGCGTTTAATTATGTAGACGTGTATTAAATACATAGCCGTATTGGCTAAGGTAATAAAATGTGTATGACCTATGACGTGTATAATATGCTTCATATAAATTTAATTTTAAAATGGTGCGTAGAAAAAAAATTTGTTTTAAATTTAATTACTTCTGCATCCAAGGTCAACAACTCGCATAATATATTAAAGCTTACGTATCTACATAAAAATTATAAATAACTAGTCTTAAAAATGTATTATTTACGAAATGTAACAACAGTTTATAAAATACTCATAATACTCTGTTGGTTTATCAGATGACCGATTATATTAGACGATGGCCAACGGGTCACGAGTGTACCATTCTTAGAAACAAAACAAAAAAATCAATCATGTACATGAATACTTCTTAAAATGATTGACATTTTTACAATAATAATAATCATAAATACGTTTAATATATTTATTTACCTCCATGAGTATTTAAAAAAAAAATATATAGGTACTTATAATATAAGTTACAGTTGCAACTAATTGATGTTGATTACATTGTCAGTTTATCCTGTACGCTGTGTATGCAGCTAGATATCGCATGAGGGTTTATTAAATCAAAATTATGAAATAAAAACATCTAGACTTAAGATATTTCGCATCTGTATACATATATGTAGTGGCGTTTATCAATTACGCCAAATGTAAGACACTATCTGCATAATAAATATCTGTGCCGCCGGAATAAAAAAGGTATTCATAATTTTTAATACGTTTACTCAAAACAATTATAAATTGTTAATTATCATAAATAAGAGCACAGGCCATAACAAATATATGTACAACGCGTGGAATTAACCTGTTTTACCTTTAAATAATGAAATAATATCATGACAAAAATAATGGTTTTCAAACCTGCCTAAGTACAAATCCATAGATTAGAATACCATACTTCAGATAAAACTAGGAAATCCAACACGTAAAAAGAGATTCAAAGTTATCAAAATCTAAAGTTACGAAACATATTTGTAAATTACTAATTTACCAAACGATCAATACAGCTTATCTGTAAGTTATAAAATCAATGATAATGATCAATAGCCAATAGTATTATACACATTAATATATATCTTTAGGAATCAATCGGCGTAATTGATATACATTGTATTAGATTTGAATATAGATTGACGCAATCGATGTATACTTTTTTTCTATCACATAATTTTTCTTCCTTTACTTGCGATTTTTAGCACGTATATAGGTAGTATACATTTTTGATTCTGAAGTAAATATCTCTATTATCTGTATGTTGAAGCCATATGAAAAAAATAACAAAGATGACTAGTTATTAATTCGAGTATCTATATTAAATATAGGTGCCTATAATGCTTATACACATAAAACATATTATTATTGAGGAGAGGAAAATTTTATTGATTATTTTTATTCAATTTGTGGTTATTGTCAAGTGATAACAAGATAATATGATTGAATAATTAAAAATTTTTTAATCAGAATATCAGATTGTAATGATAGTTTCGTAAAGTTTATATTTTTCACAATACATAAACACCTATAACTTGTAAGTTGTGCTTACGAATTACGATTGAATTAGTATTATCGATAACATGTACATTTTACAAGTTATTGTAATAAATGACAAGAACCTTTTGCGTAAGAGTTAGCCTTATTATTATACCAAAGAGAAAAAAATAAATACAGATAATGAGATTATTGAAAACATTGTCTAAAAAAAAGAAAATTTTATTTTATATTATAATTTTACTATAATCTTTTTAATTTATTATTATTATGTAAAGTGGTCTACAAAAAACTTAGTATATTATACAACTTCCTCCCCACGAGAGAATACTAAATACGTCCCCATATACATAAACAATATATTAATGTCGAATGTACCACATTACGTAATACCTATCAAAATTAAGTAACATGACTAATTACATAATGAATACGTATATTCAATATTTAACTATTATTTTACTGTAGGGTACTGCGAGTATCGATTGAATGGTCCAAATTGTGAATTTACTAGTTATATAGGTTTTTCAATTCCCAACAATGATTGTGAAAAAAAATGATTATTATGATTAGGTTATGTTATTCATAAATACATTATACATAGAATAACGCGTTTGATGGATAGGTACTTAAAATGACAAAAAAAAAAATTAATCACACAATACAATAATGAAATAGGTAGGCACCAACTAAACTTCTAATATAGAAATATTACTCACAATTTAATGTACTAGATTACGTAAAAGGTACATTCTTCTAATATCAGTCTACATTATCTATACAATTGTATAATTTTTTTTATGAAATCAGAAATGAGTATCTTATGAAGCACACCTGTATGGAACATACCTAAATTATGTAATAATATATATTAAAATATAAATTGTAAGATGTGAAAATTACTATCAAGGATTTTTGGTATCTATTATTTATGAAACGAAGATAGGCAATTCATAAAGCTACTTTATGAGTTTATTCCTAGTGGTATTTCTGCGGCATATACGTTACAAAATACCGAACAATAGATGAAATCCACTTAGAAAACAACGTAGTTTATAATAGCATTAGGGACCTATATTTTTTTAGGTTCAACATCACTTGAAATGCAAAACTGATACCATCTATTAAGATTTACAGTATTGTTGTTTAGCAATAAAAATAATTAAAACGTATGATTGTTAAAATATTATAATTTCAATACGAATATAATGTATTATATTGAGCTGTTCGTCTATTGTGTTGTTTGAGTGATACATTAAATTCTAAAAATAAAGTATCTGATACCTATAATATATTTTTGTGAATTCTATAGTAACGTAGTAATAACTATAATTTTCACGGTTGTTTTTTAATGAAAATTATAATTTTAAGTATCATTGCTTAGTAACTTGTATATGTATTTGTAAACTATAATTATAATATAAATTGATATTAAAGTTGATAATTAATCATAAATATCTACATCTCTTCACATATATGTATATATCCCATAAATATTTAAATAATTTGGTCAAGGATTTGGTTTGGTCAAACTCTAAATATATTTTTCACAACCCGACCTCCATTATTGGATCACGAATTTATAACGCGCATACTTTGTCGTTCACTGTCCTCGTCCCATAAATATTTACTACAACAAATTTCCGCATGAAGTATCCCATTTGTATTACAACACTTAGATTTTATATTTTCTCATCAAAGATAAAAGTAGTTAAGATCAATAAAAAAAAAAAATTGTTAATAGTATACGGTACGTTAGGTATAATATTTGTAATATACGCATTACGAATTTCGTATTCTTAACCCCTAAATTAGATTTTGTTCACTGTTCACACTATGGACTATTATAATAAATTTATAATAGGGCAATCGCGGTTAAAATCGATTTTTAGACGTTGCTGTTGAGACACGTTAACGATGTCGAATTGTAGTAATATATATGATACCGGTCAAAATAGAATGTTTATTGTTGTTGGTCTTAACTGTATAATCACATAGATGTTATGTTATTGTGGTCTTGGTGTTACCCAATGATGGCTATTGCCGTACATTTTTGAAGGAATACTTATACTAAATCGTCAAATGTGTAACCTTTCACCTTAAGTACTTATTTATGTTTTACTGATGCTTATTGAATAAAAGGAGAAGAAGAAGGACAGATGTCAATGGTATAAACTATAAAGGAATAAAATTTTTTTCTTAAATTATTTTTTAAGTATCTTTTTGATATTCAATTTTTTTAAATGTATGTTGAATGTTGTTCCTAAAAAACGCACGAGTGTGTACTTAACACATATGCACGCAGAACCATCGAAATGTAGTAGCTAGCAGATATTTACACGTTTTTCAACACGAAAAACAAAAAAAAAAAAAAGAAAATGAATAGGTTAAAAACATTATTAAAATACATACTGTATTTTTTGTTTTTACTTAGGTACTATTTATGAAATGTTCACAAAATAGTGTAATAAATAATAATACGACGATAACTGCAGTAGATTTACCTACATAACACACACGATCATGCCAATATAGAATATATACCTAAATTACCTATACATGATACAAATATTGATATAAATATTAAATATACATGCCATGCAAGGGTATGTACTTAGCGTGCCAAAAATCACTGCGGACCCCATAACTGTATACTTATCATATCTGTATATGATATTATATTCATAAATTTTCAGATTTCATTCGGAAAAATGTATAGTACTGTGTGTAATAAAACGGTAATAGGTGTAAAATAATAAATATATAAATTATACACGCCATTATTTTTGGATTCGCACTATTTTGAAAAGCATATTAGTTATTTCGAAAACATTTCTATTTGAACAACGTAACTTGCTTGCAATCTTATAGTGTTTTAATATTTCATTTTGTACTTATTTTTTCGCTCTTGTTTTGACACGCTAATCCATCTATCAACTATAAACAGACCCTAATCTCGGGGAGACACAGCTCTGATTTCACAATACGATTAAAATTTAATTTTGTTATTTCAGGAAGGTATTATGTAAATGCACCAAACGAAATATTCGTCGTCTAGATTCTAACCTTCATAATACCGCGCATCTCCGATGGAGTTATCATCGTTATCGGGACGTCCGTCGTAAAGATTTTCGGCGACATTTTTCTGAATACCGTTATTATTTATACCGAGGAAACTGGCTGTCAAATCGTTTCCACCGGTTGGCACTAACAACTGTGGCTGACCGATTTGTTGCACATTCCCGCCCGCCCTGTTCAGACGCTTTTGCAGGTACTGCGCCAGTATTTGCTGCGTAATGTTATTCTGCCTCACTAAATCACCACCTACACACAACAAACAGATAAGAATTTCAAGAGTGGATAACACATTGTGATTCGTATCGGTATTAGAGCACGCCGGTGCAATAATTATTAAAATAATAACAACAATAATAAATAATAAATATAATTAACAATAATGATACCTATATTTACAATGTGCATAAATGTATATTATATTCTTATAACGACATATTATGTAGGTTATTAAATTTTATGCGTGTATTGCACGCAATTTTACGATAAAACGGTGTTAGGTGGATATGCGAAATGTATTGAATATAATGTACTTAGCGACCTACTGTACTATAGATACCTATATTGGGCCAATCTAATACCGTGCTCAGCCTTGCTGAATTATAAATTCATAATTATATTCAATTCTTAATTTTTGGAATTTTTAAATGTAGTTAAGAGGAAGCCTACCCGGATGTTTTGTATCCGTCTTTCATGTGTATAAAACAGAAAATCTGCATTCATTAAAACTGATTTCGTATGGATAGCTTTAGTATTGAATTTGTATTATAATTTATAACTAAATATAAAATATTAAAATTTTAAAATGTGCATAACTCATTTCATATTCAAATTTAAATATCAAAAAACTCTACAGAATTGCCTTAAATAATATTTTTACATTTAAATTTCATAGTTCTGTCAACACAATATTGATTTTTCTAAAGAAAAATATACTGTGCTGTATGCTTATTAAGATAGAAATAACTTGCGTAAAACGAATGTTCTGTAAAAAAAAACATTTAAAAGTAAAAATATTCGAAATTTTTATGGTGTTTAAGAGTTTTTGATACTAACTTCCCATAAAATAGATGTAATATTTAGCAAATACTTATAAATCAGAAAATTAAAAAAATTTTAAAATGGTAATGTAGATAATTAATATTGATTAAATATAATAATAATTTTAATATATAATATATAATAATATTATAATTATCCTTATAATTTTTCTTTTGTTTAGAAATCACTTGTTTGAATTTAGATGAAGAAATAATGACACATTAAAGTGATCAAAAATATCTTTTAAACAAATACTAGTAAATATATATATATATTTTCATTTGAAAATATAAGTTTGTTTCGATAAGCAAAAATTCTAAGTATTTGACAATAATCTGGTCCTTCAGAATAATTAATAATTCTATAAATTAGAATTCGCATAAATTGTTTTAAATTAAGAATAATATGGGAGTGAATACAATTGGTGAATCACTTTATACATTATACATATAATAACATGTAGGCAGATAATCTATATGTTCTGTATCTTTCTTTTATTGTATCTGTATGTATGGACGCCATATCACGAGAATGGAAATAGATATGTATGGGAGATGTATTGAATAAGACGTACTTAACTACTATTGTATAGGTATATAATGATAATAAATAGTGCCTACGCGACGTTTGAAGAAATATTCGTTACGCCATTGAAATATACATACAATTTATGTATATATAATGTAAATATTTTCTGATTATATAGATCGTTATTAGGTAGGTACTACATGTAATACGTATCAGCTATGTGGTATTATGTGATCGAATATTAGAAATAGTACTGGATATAATTACTATTTACTGCATAGCTGTTATGATCATAAATAGTAGATAGACCTCATATGACTATAAAACTATTAAGTCATAATTTTATACATATTATGCACATCATTTGTTGAAAGCCTGTATAGTTTTAACAATTACGGTAGAATTTTTTTCAAAAATTTACCGTTACAAAATTTTTTTACGATACGTATCATCTTGAAATTCTTAAATGTTTTTTGTATATACACTATATTTTCTACTCCTTACACTCTTAGAGATGTAATTATCACGATGTTGTGTTAAATCACTATTCTATACTATTTTAAAGTAAATGTTAAACTCGTTGCATGTATATTTGTAGATATACTATTATTTATCACCTACCTTGCTTGGAGTAGATTACCTAAATATGAATAGTCTACTCATACAAACACACACAAATACACACACACATACACACACACACACACCATTTCTATAATCTGAAATGCGTCTTATTTTGTGATAGTGTAATCTTATGCTCAAAATAATAGCAATAAATGTCTCAAACAATGTTAACAAGTGTTTCATTTTCTTTTATAGATCTTTATTTTTGATCATCGATCAATAAAAACATATCATTTACATCCAAAAACTAATTTGTTAAATGAAAATGTACTATTCTGTAGGAACTTTGTTACAGCAGAAAATTAACGAAAGTAATTTTTTTTTTTCAATATGTTATCATATTTTATTTTTATAACCCTTAAGATAAAATGTATTAAAAAAATTAAATTTAAAATTTGTAATATCAACATTATCTAAAATATAAACAGTTAAAATTGTAATGAATCTGTTTATGGTTTACTAAAATGTTTTATAGTTGTTAATAGATATTTGATTGTACTTATACCTTGTAATTTTAAGCTAACTTTAATTTAATACCTCTAAAGATATTTCATTATCATTGTTATAGTGAAGTAAGCCAAGCATATAAAATATTAACATAGATTATTGTAATATTTGTAGTATCTATCTATATAAAAATTAAGATAAAATTAAACTGTTAGCACTTATTTCATGTGCATAATGCATATGAATACATTACGAAAGAATATAATGATACCTATACTGTTACTTCATTCAATAGAAGAGGAGACAAAAATGTTGAGAAAAAAAAGATGTAAATGATTGATGCATGACCTTAAGGTACACCTAATAATAATGATTAATGTAGTATATTATTATTATCCTATAACTTTTTGTTTTGAGTTTAATGTATTTTTATGCTTGACTCACAGATAAATATTTTTATTTTAAACAATTTATAAGTTAGGTAATAGCATATACCACAAAATGAAACGTTTATTTTAATTTCGCTTACAGGGTATATGTTAAATTCACTATCATTAATAATTATTATAAGATTATAGGTAGGTATTTATGTTTAATTCGATAATTTTTTATAACTGTTACTTATTTTTAAAGATGCTCGAACATTTATTCTTTGTATTACGTTATATTACTCAAGTTAAGCCAAGTAAATACTTCTAATTCCTTATAATTGCATAACTAATAACATTTATTATATGTTCATTGTATATGAAATTTTATATTGATAAATAGGTTTACCGAAAATATTATGTAACATATGTATATTTATAAAATCTTTAGTTACATTAGTATAATATTTTGTATGTCACATACAAAATAATACACTAAATACATACTATAAAATTGAACAACACAAAATATTTACACGTTCAAATTATTATTTATAATTAAGATGGCACACAACAATCGGTTCGATTGTCACCACGAATACGAGCGAAATCAAATAAACAATTATTAACAGCTATTTCTTGTTATAAATAACTACAGCAAAGTATTATTAAGAATAAATTAATAATTATTTTAGAGTTATAAGCCAGACATGTTTTTCTTTTTTCAAAAACCTCTTACAGTTATTCAATCCCTTAGCTACACAATACTTATCTATTTGGAATAGAAATCCTTTTCTGGATAACTAATATCGTATTAAGATTCCCAACTTATTACATAATTATGACCAAGTTACATAGGTATATTATAATTATATATCTATGTATAAATACTTACCTTTAAACTAACAACTAGCAGTTATAACAAAGTAACGTGTAACAGAATTTGTATAATTAACTTTTTCTTTCATTAATTCAATATCATAATACCAATTGAAATTTAAAAATAAAATTTAAAATACTCTTTGAAATAGAAAATTACTATGAAATAATTGAATTTAAATTTATAATTTTGACTTATAATTTATAAAATATTCTATTTTGTCATCTTATGCATGCAAACTATACGCCCATATAATTTTATACCTATAAGCATTGTTTACAAAAGTATCCATTATAAATAAATTATAATATTACATTACATTATGATATGGTACTTTCTCTACTACTGTATGCTAACATTATAAAATGTATAAAAAAGGACTTGTAGGACCCGAATTATTTGTTCATACTTTTTAATATATATATATAAACAAAAAATAAATAATCTTACGCAACGTTATTGAATTTAAGAAGTAGCTATTAAATTATATTACAGAGCTTAGTATGATAGATAAGGAAAAAAATCATTGTTGAAAAATGAACAACATAATGGTGTAATATCCATGGATATTTATTTTTTATCTGATCGATTTTTATATTTGGTATTTTAAAACAATATTTAAAGATATATATATACCGTGATAATGAGATTGGAGACAAAATTATAGGTTCGTGTAATGTAAAGTATTTACTTTCTCCCGACGAGTTGAGACCCACCTATACTAACGGAGACATATTTGTAGACTAGGAAGTTCTTCTTTGATACCGGTTGAATGTTATATTATACAATAGCCAGTCGAGCGGCAAAGTACACACATATACGTGTTATAACTTTCAGTAGTAGTAAGATACAGTTGGGCATATATATAATTACTGGTCACGACCTTCAAACTCATGTACGTTTTATGTTTATTGAATTTTAAATACAATAAATTATTATTTGTAGATGTCTACCAAAAAAGCTATACAATATTATCATCATAAAAACAAATACACGCTTTCGTTATAAATTTAAATTTTTATATAACTCTTCCTTTTTTGTAATTAGCGTGCGTATTAAAATATTAATCGTTTCGATGTTTTAAATAAATGCCTGTAGTTAAATTCGGCGTAATAAAATCATGCACATTAGTTTGTGAAAAAAGTGTTTCATGCTTATTGTGTAGCACACAATAATAGCTAAAACAGTTTCGATGTGATAAATTTGTACGACGACGACCATCAGTTATACGGTGAGGTATAGTGGTACTTTTATTATTATCATAAGCAATTCTATGAGTTACAACGTATAATTATAAACATGAAATATCATATTTCTTACTACTGTTATTTGTAAGAAGCTAATAATATTTCGTTACAGAATTGTATTATATACCTACCTAACTTAGTACATGCTATATAAAACAATTATAATATTAAAAGGTGATGATCTAACTTATAATAATAAAAATTAGAAAGATTAATATGAGACGGAAAATATGAAGAATTTTAGATAAATACTAAATTTATATTATATATTCATATTATAAGTAATTTTTCAAATTATAATAGAATATAGGTATATAAATGACTAAAATTTGTAAAATATCTAAATATGTATTAAAAACTGAAAATGAATACCAACAGTGTAACGACTATAAATAATCAAAAACACATATTAAAACCTATTTGTATTAGAATATTTTTGGAACACATGAGTTTAAAAACTGATCGGCAAATAATTTCAATACAATTTTAATATCGTCTAAACGTTTTTATTCGATCACGTCTATTAAGTGTAACTATAAATTAGTATTATGTAATCGTTATTATTTAATTGAAAAAATCCTACTTGTTTAGTCTTGTCTTAAAATTAAATTTAAAAAAGAAACTTGTTATTTTCTCCATACTAATTTTTACACAAATGTGTGTATTCATATATTTTTATTTGTTTAAATAAACTTTAACATTTTTCCTTTCTACCACATATTTAAATAAACTTTGTCAAGGATTTATACTAAGAGACATATTCTATTATAGGTTAAAGATACTTGTTTTTCATTCCCTATATCTATTTTTAGTGGATACTTCATATTATTTATCCTTGAGCTGTTTAAGATTTTACTTGATTATTCTAAAACGTAACAATAAAAGTAAAAGCCTTTTTACTTTAGTATTAACTTAACTACGGCTATTACACAATAATATTAAGTAAACTACGTACCTACCTGGATATTTTCATTATTGAAAATTGAATTATCGATATGAATGTATATTTTATTTAATAAGAGCTAAATATAATATACTTTATTTAATATTGTTATTATAATACTAATAAATATAAATAACCAAATGTATTGACTGAGATAATAAATTGAAAGATTTATTTTAGATAACATTTAGCATTTTAAATAGGAGTATCGACTAAAATATTTTATAAAGAAAGTTAAATCGAAAAAAAAATGTATTAACGAGAGAAAGCTGAATAAGATAAACAGATTTTTACTAGAGTTATCACAGTACCATTAAAGTCATAAGTGTTAGTCATTAAGTATACTCATTTATAATATTTTCTAATTGTTACCTAAAACAATTGGGACTATTTTTATTTGAATTTGAAATATTTATACTGTACCTCTATTCATATAATATAGAATTTTGAATGGACAGGAGTTTAATACAAAAATGAATAACTATTATATTAAAAAAATCATAAATTAATACTTTGAATATTAAAAAATAATTGAATAAAATTTAATTTTTATTAAATTAATACCTCTACATACTACTTATATGGTAAACATGGTTTTTAGAAATACTCGTAGATTGTAATTCATTTATTATTCAAAATATTTAATATTTCTTTAGTAATTTTTTTTATTATACTTCATGAATATTGTTGATAATTTGAAATGTGTTAGCTATTAAGTATAGTCTTACAACACAAATAAAAATAATACTCAATTTCCTTATGAAATATTTATGTAAATTATTTCATATAATACAAATAATAATTTGAATTATTTAAAGTACAAATTTACCTTGTGGTTCGTTTAGCTTATGGCCAGTTCTAGGGACGGCTGTCTGACTTCGTACGGCGAAAAAACATACGAACAACGTCAGGAACAATAATATACTTCTAGCAGTACCCATCAAAGAATTCATATTTGCACGATTTAAACTACTATTATGTATTGTATAAACTTTAAATTTGAATAATTCAATTGTTTAATACTGAAAAGAAAACTTAAACTAATAATAATAATAATAATAATAAAAAAAAAAATAACGCGATAGATGATGTTTAAAACAATCGCACCACGGCCACAGTGAGTAGCAGGTTAAGTACGGTATAGGTGCTGGTAATATCTGGATAGTTCATCCATTTCGTGCACGATTATCGTTCGTTATACTGTGGACAATCGTGTGAGGAGGACTTTAGAAGGAGAAATTTATTCCTCGGCCGCCGCAGTCGACGAGTGGGCAACGCGATGCTGCGAATAAGACCACTTTCGATCTCCACCGCGCGATATAAGCGGATGGCGTTAAAAACCGGTATACAGAGTGGAACTGCAGACACACACACACACACACACACGCACACACACACCGTGCTTGATGGTTGCCGCGGATATCAAATATAGAGGAGGTACGTCTGTTAGTGGATATAATAACACTATAGCTATACTTAAACATAAGAGTAGACCGGACAGACGGTATTAAATATATTAATATATGTATGTATTGTACATGGTCTCATCTCATTGCACAGAATAAACATGTATTATTACCGCATTATTCTGTACGTACGGTTTTTCAGATTTTAAATTCTTTAGAATACGCAATTCTTCCTCGTTACTCACGAGTGACTCGATCGATACAATGTACTATATTATATATATTTATAACTTTTATAACATTATTATAAATTGTTCTGTCACAGCCACTAACGTGAAATCTTGAAATTTATATTAATAAAAGGTTATGTTTTCAAGGATGGATTTAAAACACTGCGAACTATGCGGCCGCACAGGGTGGCAGCAAAATAGTGTTGAATATATTTTATATTGTTTTTATATAATAAAATAACATAAGTTTTTTCGGTTTTTTTTTTTAATATTTCAAAATTTTAAATGGTGTATTTTGTATTCGTCTATTTTTAACAAAGTTATACTTATTTTTCTCAGGAAATCATCGACGACAACGACGATTATGTCTTATTTTAGCTTATATAATTTTTTATAGAGTATGTATACTAATATTGTATAAACTAGCGAAGTGGCTAAGTGTAGTAATGGCGGCAAAAACTCTTAGAGAGTAGAAATGCCAGTAGAAGAAGAAGAAGAAGAAGAAGAATGTATACTAAGATACAATACTATACGTTATATTATAAACATTTTCTTTATTAGGGTGGTATCGACATGAGTTCATATAATATGTTTATATTTATAATTGAAATTTGAATTGTCCGTTCACCGATATGTTTACATGTACACGTAAGTTATTTAGAGTAATGAGTAATGACACTGGTGTTTAGGTATATATTTTTGGCCAGCATATTGATACTATATAGAATGTAGGGTGAATTATAATTTAATATTTATTTTCATTTTACATAATACATTGTGAATATGAACAGATAAGAGTTGTACATTTCAATATTTAAAACAGTCAAAACAAAAAACTGTTAAGTTAATTAATATTGTAGAAAATTTCATTTAGCATAAGACGGAAAATTGTTCAATCCACCACCGTATGTTTGTGAGTGAGTGTATAAGTGATTCAAAACCAAGTTTACCACCCTCGTGATTTTAAAATTTGGTACATAGGTAATTCTATGCCCGAGGATCTACATCTCAAAGCCAATTTTTAAATTTTGCATTTTAAAGAGACGCTCATGCATGAGCTTGTTGATATGATAAAATAAAGAATTTTTTATTTATACAGGGTTGCCATTGGTTACAGTCTTACAGATAATAAAATAGTAAGATATATCCAATTATAGAATTGGATACAATATCAGACTTGTATTTTATATTTTGGTTAAAATTACTTAAATAACCACGTTTAAAATATGTTTTGATTTAATAGAATAACAAGATAAATCCAATGGCATTATTTAATTTTTCATAGGCAACGCCGTACCCCGATGTATTTTTTTATCTAAGTTTTATAAAAAATTTGTTTTTAAAATTATGGTAAAATAAATTAATTCTACTGATTCTATGTGTATATATATATATATATATTATTTCTGTAGATATTTTTTTTGCTAATCAACAATATTTCAAACATTCTATGTAAATTACAAATAGATGGTAGATCGTTTTTCAATTTGTAATTTATAAATTATCTTATTATATTAATACTATTATGTAACTACCTGCAAAAAAACTATAAAATAACCAAAATATTGAAAAATATTGAAAAATTTTTAACAAATATTTCACGCATAAATAAATTTTAAATAATATAATTTGTTATTCAGTCATTGTTTTTAACCTTTAAACTAAGTTAACAAGTAATCATTATTAAAATAAGATGAAAACTCACACTTAAGCTCTGCATTATTTAATTTGAATTTTTATATTTCATTTCATTTTTTTGATAGTAAAATTTTCTATGTATCTGTTTAAACAGTGTCTTACTTACTTTATTATAGATATACCTACATGATATATTACACAACAATATAATTTTTAAAAAAATAAATAAAAGATTATTTCTATAATTTGAAAAAATAATGATATAATCATATAGTAACTTGAATCATGGTAATATTTGATACGTGCGAGAAGATTCTTAGCCATGCATAATAAAAAATAACGTAATTACTAATAAATTTTTATATGTAAAAATCAACCACTCGATCAACTACAGGAAATTTTTGGTCTTAAGCAACAGATGTCACTATTAAATTTCTTAAGTAAAACAAATTTACTTAAATCATAAATGTACATGGCTTTGAAAATCTTGTTTAAAATTATTTAATTTCTAAATTATAAACCTGTGTAGTTATATCATCAATTCATAAGTTATAGTAATAAAAAAAACATATAAACGCCAAGTAAAAATCTTTGAACGTTTTAAATCATTTTTGATATTGCTATAGTGATTTATCATTGGCCGTTGCTTTCTCGCTTAAATTAAAAATAATACACTGGCTTGTAGCCAAGGTGATCAGAGTGAACCAATATTTAATACTCAATACCTATACGTAGATATAATAAGAATTTTGTTATTTGTACACTTAAGGCTGTAGCCCATCCTAAATAGTTGCGAAGAGCATTCATGTTTTTTATGTATGATCATTGTATAATTCTATAAAATGCATTTCTAAAACATAACCATTCTCTAACAATCATATTTTATGATGGTTACGGTGAAATAATAATAATTATGAGATACCGTAAAATATTTTAATAAATAGATGAACACGAAGCCACGACTTGAATGCGCACACTATTATAGTGTTTTGAACCTTGGGTAAAGAATCTATTCAATTAGGTTTTGTTTGTATGGAACAACATTAAATGTTTCGTAGTTAATAAATGCATACGATTTACATAGCGGTTGTAGTAATTATGTGTCAACAATGAAGTGATATAATCTATGTAAAATTATTATGATAATAATTTATAATAGTAACATTCTAACATGTATAACGGTGAGATGCAGGGTAATTATTAAGTATAATAAAATAATCCTAGCGATATAATTTTCATTTTTAAATCTAATTATAAAATATGCATAGTTCTGCGTAACTAATGTGTTTTAATTATTGTTACAAACAAATTTATCTTGAATATTATTATTTTTTTATTAATTCTTAATATTGCGTAATATCTAGAACTTGTACTTGGATTAAATTCCAAAATAAAATATATACATAATAATAATATGCTTAAGTAATAAACTTTTTTCAAGCGTGCATCTAGAAATTTTTATTTAAAAGAAGACAAAAAATATAACTTTTGTAAATACACGTAAGATATTAGTTTTAATTTTTTTTTAAGTAATAAATATTAAAAATTATCAGTAATGTGTAAATTTTAAATATATAGGTATTAAGACGTATTAAATATTTATTACACGCTTAATATAAAATACGTCCAAAAGTGAGGCTATAGCCCTTTAACCTCCTCTTTGGATCCATGCCGGATTTTTTTGCTTTTTTAATTAATCCCACATACTTGAATGTAATAATTAACAAATTTTATATAAACAACAATTCTGAACAAAAATTATCTAGACCCTGATGGTGAGAGACCTTCAGCCTATATTACTAAATATATTTAACATTTTTCCAATTTTTTTTTACAAAGTTTTATTAAATACTCCTGCTAGTGATCTATTATTCACAATTTAATTTTATTCGTGATTACAGTAATTTTAAGAATGCACAAACTACGCACAGGCAAATTCGGATAATTCTGCTAGTATAAAACAAAAAAAACGAACATGTTTTGTTAGTACCTACGGGCTAGGTCGACTACGACGATACTTCTAGATCCAATTTAAGTATATATTATTAAGATTTAAACCTGTTTTCCAAATTGTTATCGTTTCATAATTTCATATAGATAAGGCTACATGATGAAATTAAATTACATCCATATTTCTATGCTGCTCTGTATCAAACAAAAACGGATAATCGCTATTTTAAATCCCAATATTCCATTAAAAGCTTAACTATTTATCCCATACCTGTCATATATAAAACTTTTAACACATAACAATTATTAACAATAAAGGCCCACCCAAAACAGAAATTCTCCGCTATTCAAACGAATACAACTATTAACTGTAAACAAGTTAAATAAAAAATATTTTATTGAATATTTAGATCTTTTTTATGTAAATATTAAATTTCTTACTGATAGTGCACTAAGTACCAACCTATAAATTCGACACTTATACTTGTATAAATACGCATAATCACCTATAAATAATTTACAATACGGTTTATATGTAGTATATATATTATATCCGATATATATGGGTCATCTCGTTCAATTGTCAATGGGTGTTATTTATGTGCTACACTGCTACCATACAGGTGTTGACATTATATATGGTACCGATTTAGTTTACTATTGTAGGTACCTACGGTTAATATGAATCGTGCCAATTGCAATATCAAGTATGATGGTGTATCTATTTTTATATACTTAAATAATAAATCGAGACTTATGTGTTATGTCACTGAAAAATTGGATTCATTTATAGAATTAAATAAATATTTTATAACTTATGCATATTACTAAATACATATATATGTTTAATTTTATTTACAATTTAAAACAAACATTTGCCTTTATTAAATTTAAAAATGATTATATACAAAATAAATATAATTTATTTTAAAGCATATTTTTATGCATGATCTAAAAAGATGGGTTTGCTATTAAAATAAATAATTTAAAAGAAAAATAAAGAAGTTTTAAAAATGAATATTATTTAAATAATTATAGATACGTACCATCTACCTATATAATTTTCTAT